TGGGAGCCTTAGGATTCCAAACAACATTTAGTGATTACTGACCTTGACACTGAGCTCTAGTAGTTGAAGTAAGTTTGTAGGTATGCTGCATATTACAAATAACTGGATCCTTTACTGGAGTCATGGGGAAAACAGTTGAAGAAAATATTATTATACTAGAGATTTTTAAAAATCTAGGTAATTCTGGAGGACAAATGCAGACCAAAATAAACTAATGACATTAACTCTTGTACGTTTTTCTTTTTTAATGTCTCAGTGACTTCTAGTACTCTTATCTCTTTTGCTGTAGGCTCTGGACTTGCCTTTTCCATTTTTGTTATGATGTAATGGATAAGACACTGGGTTGAAGCCAAATGTGCTTGAGTTCATATTCCAGCTTCTTGACTGATGTCAAGTCACTTAACCTCTTTGTGCCTCAGTTTATTCTTCTGAAGATAAGGACAGCTATTTAAGAGTTGTTGCAAGAGTTAGGTAAGATGATGTCTGCACAAAATCCAGCACAGGTGTAACAAAAGTTAGTCCTCAATAAGTGATCACTGAAATTTATTATCAATCGGTGACTCTTACTTATCTACCTTACAATGACTTAAGAAAGGATTCAGAAAAAATGGAAGGGAGCTGAACAAGGTTTCTATATAAAATCTGTCTTTTTTGTAAGAAAAGATTTCTAGTGAAATATGTTTATTTTATAAAGATACTGTGTTTGAGATGAGAAGAGAGGATCTGATATTAAATGAATTCAGTTGCATGGCTGAGGTCTGAGTTTGCTGTATAGGATGTAGTGTTATGGTACAAAATTTTGACTTTTAATGTGGTTATCTATAAAGCTCCTAAGTTGAAGCTGGAGACATCTTCTTTGTAATAGGATTCTAAGGGACTCCAATTATGAAACTCTATTTCTTGGAGTCTTCAGTGTTTTTATAGATATCCAGTGTTCTCACTTGCTTTAAGCTTATGCTGCCTTGAATGGAAATAGACTATGCGTATGATCTAGATATTTTGGGGGGAGGCTGCTTATGACCAGATGATGCAAAAGAACTAAATTGACTTTTAGTTTAAGTGCTAAGTTTAGTTTAAATTACCTGTCAGTGTACTTCATGCTGGTTAATATGAACACTTTTCTTCCTGGAATAAAACACCATTCAGTGCCCCCAGCATTCAGTGTGCTTATAGCAGACAATAAAGTAATTGATGTAGATATCCCTGTCCTTTTTTTGTTTTTAGCTTTTGCATTAGCTAAAGTTCTTTTGGTCATAGCAACAGAAACCAGCTTTGGCTGTCTTAAGTGAAGAGGACATTATATTCGAAAGATAAAAGGCTATCTCTTAGAACTGAAGGATGTATTGAACAACCAAGACCCGGGAAGGGAGTAAATGCAGCCAACTCTGGGAATGTTGGCAGAAGCTGTGTGTGGACCCATAGGATGCAATGTTAATGTACCCAGCTTCTGTGGTACCCATATGTGTGTTGGAGGTTCTCAAGGCCACTCCCACATTCAGAGATTCACCAGAAAGACTCATGGCACTCAGAACATAGTTGTACTCACAGTTCAGATTTATTACAGTGATGTAATAAGGATATGCATCTGAACCATGGTGGAAAAAGGCACAGGAAGAGTCTGGAGGGACATTATGTTATGCAGGCTTCCTTATGTTCCCTCTCCCACAAGGGAGACAGAATGCACTCCTCTTCAAGGAACAACAGCACAGCATGCATGTGGTGTTTCTACCCAGGGAAGCCCATTAGAGACTTGGCACTCATTGGGAGATACTCATGTAAGCACCCTGTGCACATGCCAAAATTCCAGACTCCTGGAAGGAAAGCAGGTGTTCAGCATACACCACATTGTTTGCCCAGTCAGGGCTGAGTGGACACCCTTATTAGTTAGGGGCAGGTGAGGACCTTCCTGAAATCCAAGTTCCCAGGCACCAGCCAAGGACCAAGCAGGCTTTCCTAAGGCCAGCAGTCTCAGGCTGTTTTCTCACAGCATCTCCATCAATTCCAGGTCTCAAATTCTGGAATGATCGAATCTGACCCACCTGGACTCAGGTGTCTCTGAAATACATTCATTTGCAGGGAGGCTGAATGGAGTGATAGATGGCCACTGGAACCTGCCCTCTGGAATGGAAGGGTGTAGTCCTGAGAAAAGAGGGACTCAGAAAGAGCAAGAAGGACCCACTGTAGTGGGTATTGCATGTTTGAGGTCTCTGGAAGACTTTCATCCTGAGGGGTCTGTGACTCTGTTACAATATGCTGAATCTCAGGACTTCATTGAGTATTTCTGGAGCATATGCTATGTGCCAGTCTCCTGAGCCAGAAGCATGCCTCCAATATTTTCCATTTTATTTTGAAGAAGAGTGTGTCTATGTGTTATAGATCTTTCCCCTATGCTCTCTGACTTCTTAGGGATTTAAACATCAAATTCAATTTCTCTGGACTTTTGTAGAATACCATGAGTACCAGGTTATTTGGGCAGTGTTATGCTTAACAGAAAGCCATTCATTTTTCTCTTATAGTAATCCTTTGATTTATACAGTAATAGGAAAATTTTAATGCAGAATATATGTATTCCATTACTGTGCTCCCATCCTTTTAAATCTTTTAATTTTATTATTTGCTACAAAAGAAATATAGGTTAAACACTTAAATGCATTTGAAACTGAAATGTGGTCAGTTAATTTTTAAAAAGTCATTAAAGCATATCAAAAAGAAATGAGAGATGTTCCAAGTATTTTAACTCAAATATATTTATTTTGGCTTTTGTATATGCAAATCTTTAAAACTGACAACGTTTGTGAAAGCATCCTGAATGCATAAAGATGTAGTTTTGTAGATGATACTGGAAGTGATGGAAAGTGGTAGAGATAACCTAGAGAGAAAATAGATTGCAAAGGCCCCAGGTGGAGCTGCCAAATACCAATATTTTAGAGATGGATAGAGAAGGAGCCCCCCAAAAGTGACAGGTTGAGTAGCCAATGAATTAGGAGGAAAACCAGATCTTGCAATGCCAGAGGGCCCAGGCAAAAATGTGTTTTTAAGGAGTGACCAATAGGGACAGTGCCTTAGCCATGGTCTCTCTGGATTTTAGCCACAACATGAAGGTGTCCTGTTTCATAAAACAGCAAATGAAAACTAAAGTAAGGTTCAGGAAAAACCCTATGTCCACTTATATAACTAACTTCCAGCCTGAAATCAGTTCATTTATTGGGATCATTTGATTAGTTGATTAGACATAGAGTGGTTCCTCTTAACTTCTGTGTTAATACAAACAAACACATCTTTTCCATAGTCAATACATCTATGTATTGTGATAAGGTATACAATTTGCAGGACTCAGAATATAAACCGAAGCACATCTGTAGCTCTGAAATCATTGCAGGGCAATAAGCATTCACAAAATGGTCAATAAATGTTTTAAAATGTGCTAACAATTTCCCCTAGGTTCTGAAAATAAAAACACAAATCTTTTAAATGTTCAGAAAATGTGTGCCCTCAATAGTAGATCTATTCATCTTCAGGGATTTCCCCTCAGTTGATAAACTGAAAGTTGATTGAGTGTAGACAAGAAGGGCTTTTTTCAAGTTTTAGAAGGACTTTCATGTGCAAAAGGAAAGAGAAGCAGCTTTGGGGTCAATATAAAATTATCTAAAATAGAATTGGATTCATTGAAAGATGATGACTTTAACTGGTGACAGGGAACCACTCATTTAGGGCTTTAAGAGGGAGAGGTTGTTTTGTTTTGTTTGTATTATATGAGTGACAAGATCATTTCTAAGGTCTTTTCCTAGTCTAAGATTTCATGAGTCTATTAAATAACTGTATCTGGGGTCTATAGGATTTAAGGAAAAAAATATATAACATTGATTTTGTAGTTCCGCCTACCTCTAATATTTAGGTAAGATATATAAAAATATCTCAAATCATAGTTAAGAGGACCATAATTATCCATAATCTTGACATTTTAATGGTTATTTTCAATTAAGGTGTTCCCTTTTAATAACTATCTATGGGCACAGTTGTTATTATTTTTTTTCATGCTCAAATGACATTTATTCCTGATTATTCATGTAGTTACTGGCTAATTTATAAATCTGCTTTTAGGGAAGTTTTTTTTAGCTTTAATTTTTATTTATTTATTTATTTCAAAATATTTTTTGTTTTGGTATCATTAATCTACAATTACATGAAGAACATTATGTTTACTAGGCTCTCCCCTTCACCATGTCCCCCCAACATACCCCTTCACAGTCACTGTTCATCAGCGTAGTAAGATGCTGTAAAATCACTACTTGTCTTCTTGGGCACAGTTATTTTTACAAAAGTCCACTCATGGTTCTATACTCCCCCTTTTTTTTTTTCACTGATTTTAGCTATCATGGGATAAAGTTAGGGAAATAGGTCCATTTTCCTGGATTCTTTAGTCCTAAAATTTTTAGAATTTTAGGATTTTTAAGGTTCTTTAGTCCTAAAATCTGTTTGCTGATATGGTGGATAAGAGCAATGCATAAAAAATGTCTAAGGCCATTATGCCAAAGTGAAATAAGCCAGACACAAAAGCATAAATACATCTCATATTCTGTCTCTTTCTCTCCCTCCACCCCCACCTCTCCCTCCACACACACACACACGTACTTTTATACTAAAGTAGTCACATTCACAGAAATAGAAGGTAGACTAGAGGTTGCCAGGGGCAGGGGAGAGGAGAAAATGGAGAGTTAGTGTTTAATAGATACAGAGTTTCAGTTTGCAAAGATATTTTTCTAGAGATGGATGGTGGCAATAGCTGCACAACATTGTGAACGTACTTCATGCCATTGACTATAAAGTTAAAAATGGCTAAAATGGCCAATTTTATATTATGTGTATTTTACCACAATAAAAAAATAAATACACACCAAAAAAAAAAAAATCTAAGGCCACAAATGCTTCCTTGAAAAAATGATTTTTGTGGTTTGTGGGCATTTCCTAAACTGTACTGTTTTATTTTTCCTCTGAATTAGTTGATCATGGCCTTGCCAGGTTGGTGACAGCATATTGTGAGCATGGTCATAAAGCTGCCAAAATCAACCCCCTCTTCATTGGACAAACCCTGCAAGAGAACGTGCCTGAAATCCAAGCCCTCCTGCAGACCCTGCAGGGACCCTTTCATACCACAGGTAAAGCCCACTGACAATGCACTGGCCATGTGACAGTTAGCTGCCATCACAGGGCGGGGTTCCTTTCTGTTCTTGAAGAACATACATGCCTTTTGGAGCCAAAGCCTCCATGGGGTGTGAGGAGACAGTGAGGGGCACATTTAAGCACTGTCTAAAGGGAACAGCCTTTAGGTTCTAGAATGGTGTTCTGATAGGGCCCATTTCCTCTGCATTCAAAAGCATATTCACCAAAGAAGGCATACAAATGGCCCAACAGGTATGTGAAGAGGTGCTCAGCATCACTGGTCATCAGGGAAATGCAAATCAAAACCAGAGTGAGAAATCACGTAACTCCTGTTAGAATTATCAAAAAGACAAAAGGTGACAAGTATTAACAGGATGTGGAGAAAAGAGAATCCATGTGCACCATTGGTGAGAATGTGAGTAGGAGCAACCACTATAGAAAAGAATATGGCGGGTCCTCAAAAAATTAAAAATAGAATTACCATATGATACAGCAACCCCACTTTTGGGTTATTTATCCAAAGGAATTGAAATCAGGGTCTTGAAACTTCCAGGAATTTACCTGAGGAAAACAAGATCCCTGATTCGAAAGATACATGCACTCCTATGTTTATTGCTGCATTGTTTGCAATAGCCAAGATATGGAAGCAACCTAAGTGTTCATCAGCAGAGGAATGGATAAAGAAGATGTGGTACATACACACAATGAAATATTATTCAATCATTAAAATAAAAGAAATCCTGCCATTTGTGACATGAATGGATCTAGAGGGTATTATGCTCAGTGAAATAAGCCAGGCAGAGAAAAATACCTTATGATTTCACTTATTTGTGGAATATAAATACAAAGCAAAACAATAAACAAAACAGCAGTAGACTCATAGCCACTAAGAAGGGACTGGTGGTTACCATGGGGGAGGGGTTGGGAAGGGTGGGTAGAAAGGTGAGAGGGATAAAGGGGCAAAAAAATTCTCAATCATGATGTAGGTTGGTCCTCGGGGTAGTACTACAGAATGGAGAATATAGCCAATCATTCTGTATCATCTTCCTGTGTTGACAGATAGCTATACTAGTGGGGGTGAGGATTTAATAATGTGGGTAACTGTTGACCACTGTGGTGTATACTTGAAACTAATGTAAGATTGTACATCAATGATATTTCAATTGAAAAAAATCTTTGGACATAAAAAAAAAGAAATCATGGTCTTGAAGAGATATATTGTAATAGTAAGATATGAACACAACCTAAATGTCCATCAATAGCAGAGTGAATGAGGAAAATGTGGTATATTTACATACAATAGAATATTATTCAGCCTTAAAAGAGATGGAAATCCTGCCAACTATATAACCTCTTCCACTTTTATGACTACGCTTTCTGCTAGACCATGAGAAAGTACTTATTCTTGTTGCTGATCATACTTAATGATTTATTTTCCTTTATTTATTATTTTTTTGTTTAAATTGCTTTTCAGCTCTTTTGCATTTGATATTTTATCCCCAGTTCCCATTCACCTAGTACACTCTCCTTTGATCTCTAAGCACCCTTTCCTCCCTGTCCATCCTTCACTCCTCATCCCCCTCGAACACATACTTAACCCCAGCTGCCTTTGAGGAGAGTTTGGGCATTCTCCTTTCAGTTTCCATAACCCTCCTCTTTCCTATTCCCCGCCCCCACCTTTAAGAATTTATTTTTTCGTTCCACATAGAAAATAGTCCTTTCAAAATCAAACCATTTTGAAACTAGAGTTATAATGTAAATATTAGGCAAAAAGCGTTTTTCTGTTTAGGTCAAAGGTGTATGAGGAATCATGGCATGAAGACGTGGGGGTAATGGGTATGGGGGGTGGGTAGTGTGGACCCCTTGGAGCAGGGTGGACAGTTCTGCTCAGTTCCTGATTACTAGCTGATTGTAAAATTGTCACGGTGTTGGAGATCAGCAAAATGTTTTTGCCTAATTAGTAAAGTCTGTATAAATCTCATCAATTCTCATCAATTCTGTTTCCTAAATATTGCTCAAATCTCTTTCTTGCTCAAACTTTAAGGGTGCTGCCTTAGTTAAAATCTTCATTATTTCTCTCCTGACTTTTGGATGTTTTCTCTTTTGCATATGTTGCCTCCAGTTTCAACACCTACTTCTCTCCCTCTACCCACTTTCATACTGCTATGGGAGATATACTTTGAAATTATCACTCTGATGATAACTAAAAGATTTCAGTGACTCCCAATCTCTCAGACAAAAACCTATGCTTTCTATCATCATTTAAATGGCTCTTCAGGAATGGAAAAAGCTTACTGTTTTAAAGTTATCCCCTATATCTTGTTGTATCCTTTTTTTTGCTATATCTAGTTATAGGGTCCCGATGCTATTTTGTCAACTCATATGTCCATTTTTGCATGTATTACTTCCTTTATCTGGAATGATCTCCCATCTACCCCATCAACCTAGGGTCCTCCTGTTCATTTTTAAGCATTCAACAAACATTTCCTGCTCTGTGAAACAAAGCTGCCCAGAGCTTGCCAAGGTAGATTTCAATATTTGGTCACCTATGCTTTCATAGTACTTGGACAACTCTGAACAATAGCACATTTACCAAAACAAATTTTAAAAACCTAATCTGATTTCAGAATAAGGCCACCCTACAAATGTTCTAAAAAATATTCAACATTGATGGACAGTGACTGCAATGGGGTGTGTGTGTGGGGGGACTTGATAATATGGATGAATGTTATAACCACAATATTGCTCATGGGAAACCTTCATAGGATTGTATATCAATGATACCTTTCTTAAAAAAAAATTCAGCATTAGCCCAGAATGTAAAGTTACTTAACAGAAGATACAGTCTTCTTTCTAGGAAAAACCACTAATCTATATGACATTGTATTATTATTTGTTTATAATTTTCTCCCCATGAGTCTATGAGTTTCCTTCAGTAAAAAAGACTTTCTTAGTCATGTTTGTACACTCAATGGCAGTAGAGCTTCTGGGATGCAGTGGATTCTTTAAACTTATTATTGGACACATAGAACAAAACTATGTTTATCTATAGCTATGTAACTTTATATCCCTTCTTTTAGAGGCATGGGTTCTGAATATTTTAAATACATGTAGTTAATATAAGAACAGTAGAAAATATGAGAACCCCAGAGCAATTTTTTATGCTGTGTGGTGTTCTGCATTTTCACATTTAATCCTTTTGGGCTTTTTTTTCTTTATTGGGGTAAAATACACATAACCCTTGCCACTTTAACCATTTTAAACATTTAGTGATATTTAGTACGTTCACAATGTTATGCAGGAAATCTTTTGCCTATATGCAGTCATTCCTTATTTTTCCCTCCCCCAGCCCCCGGCAGCTACTAATCTACTTTCTGTCTCTGTGGATTTGCCTAATCTTGACATTTCATATAAATGGAATCCTATAGTGTGTAGCCTTTTGGTTCTGGCTTTTTTCACCTAGTAATATTTCTAAGGATCATCCATCTTGTAGCATAAATCAGTACTTTATTCCTTGATGTGGCTGAATAATACTCTAGTGTATGGCTAGGCCATATTTTGTTTATCCCTTAATCCACCAGTGGACATTTGGGTTACTTCCTATCTCATGTATTCGTCACAACTACCTCATGAGATGCCTTGATTGCTCCTGCTTTACAGATTAAAATGTGAGGCAGAGAGAAGCTAGGCAATGTGTACAGCAACTTTCACCAAGTAGAATGGTCAATCAGTAACAAAGATCTAAAGCTTATTTTAAGAGACCATAAGCAATGTAAAGTAAATGTTGGTTTGTTAAACTCACATTGTAGGTTTAGGCAAATGACAGCTAACTGATTTGTTGCTGAGCTAATAACACAGGGCAAACCTTCCTTTTCTTCCACTAAAGTTCAGGGAGATTTCCCTTTACCTTAAAATGTTGCTTTGCTATCAATATTCACAGTGAGACCAACTGTTCAATAATAGACATTTATAGATATTAATAAGATTTGAACATTGTAGTTGTTATTTCAGGTAAGGTAGGACATATGATTTGTGGTGAATGTTAGGCTTCAAATTTTAGTTTGAAATTATGATAGAATCAAAATTTGGCATAAAACAGAAGGGGTATAATATATCCTTGTGGAGAAAGAGTTTTATGCCCTGTCCTAGTTTTACTATTTCATGGCTTTTTAGAAAAATCTGGATAAATACTGATGGTGACCCAAGTTATTTGGAACAAAATGCTCTGAATGGAGGTATTATTTTGGTGCATTTTGTGATTAGTTACAGGGTTGATTATGCTTTAAAATGCTCCTTTTGATTCCATTTCATAGGATTATTGAACATGGGGAAGGACAAGGCCTCTCTTGAGGAAGTATTAGCCTATCTCAACCAGATATACTGTGGGCATATTTCTATCGAAACCTCCCAACTTCAGAGCCAGGAAGAGAAAGACTGGTTTGCCAGGCGGTTTGAGGAACTAACAAAGGAGACATTTACCATAGAAGAGCGAAAACATCTGTCAAAGCTGATGCTAGACTCTCAGGTATAAAAGTAGCAGCTAATATCAGTGGGACCAGTTGGCTCATTTTCTACAAAGATACATAAATATTGAAGAGAGGGAATTATTGCATTAATTCTCTGACCATCCCACACTTACCCCTATTCCTTCAACACGACAGATAATAAAACATGCACCACTTTATTTTAAGTAGAATATTCTAAGTAGCATAAAGCAGATCACAAAACAGCAGAGCTATTGGTTCTCCTTATCATCAAAATACTTTTAATGTATCTGTCTATTCACTCTATAGAAGTTGCAAAATCCTTAAAATCTTATTTCCCTTTTTATTACCTGAAGTGATCCAAAAAAAAAAAAAGAACCCTGTGTGGAAGAGGCTCTCAATACATGTGAATGGAATTGAATCTCTGGCAGGGCTTTGATCAGGACTCAGGCATATCAAAATGACAAGAAGCCTATTCCAGCGATTTGTAGAGTTGGATAGTTTGCAGCCTTGAGGAAATTGATCTGGAGAGCCCTCTACTAAACTCAAGTTCTGGGAGAGGCAGCGGAAATTGAAGGCCCAGCCCCAACTCCAGAAGAATGAACACACATTCAGAGGGGGTTCCTCTTGGGCTGTTATTCTAGCCCTCAGGTTGTTTCTCCGCATTGCCCACTGCTGTTGAGTGGCCTTGGCAAGGCTTTCCCACTATGCTCTGTGCTCTGGATCATCTTTGTCTGTCTCTGGGGTACGTCATGAAGGGACACTCCTGTGGCCATGTAGAGTCACGTGGGGGCTTGTTAGAACACACGTAGACATGTCCGAGTTTGACCTGTGTAGTCAGCTAAATTCCTGTAACTCATATGCCTGACTTATGTTCCTCAGGAGTTTGACCACTTCTTGGCCACCAAGTTTGCCACAGTGAAGCGATATGGAGGTGAAGGTGCTGAAAGCATGATGGGCTTTTTCCACAAGTTGCTGAAAATGTCAGCCTACAGTGGCATCACTGATGTTGTAATTGGGATGCCCCATAGAGGGAGGCTTAATTTGCTGACGGGCCTTCTGCAGTTCCCTCCAGAGGTAAGGTACTTTCTCTGATGTACAATTGACTCTAACAGAATAAACAAAGGGTCATAATTTTTTTAGGAAGCTAGCTAAAAATATGAGCCCTTGGTCCAGGAGATAGCTCAGTTAACTGATGGAGCCTAATGCAGTGGGATAGAACCAGTGTTTGAGCTGGTTTTCTGTGTATCCTTGTGCGGATTCTTTCTTCTTTCAGGGATCTTAAAGGTTAGTTTGTTTGCTCAAGGAGGATGTGAATAGATAAATTCTGTTCTTTGAAGCACAGTTTTCTTAATAAAATTGCTCAAGCACAAAGATCTGGCAATTTTATACAATTTTACCTTGCAAGAAGTCAATCTTATGTTCCGTTGATTTGGAAAGTTTATAGTTAATAGATTGTACTAAAACTAATAATACATTGTTACCCTAAGAAATCACCCAAGTGAGTGGTTTTATAAAGAATTGGATCTTGGTGTTCCTGTCCGGTCCCTCTTGGCTGTTCTGTATGTCTCTCCAAAGATCTTAGAGCCGGACTAAAGACTTTACGTAAGGGAACATCAGAGTAACTTGTGTTTACTGAGGTTTGGCCACTATGTGTGGGTAAACCTCACTACTGTTCTTGCCCAGATTAAGATTAAACATAATTATAAAGGTTTAAGGGTCTGTTAAAATTAGATGGAGTGAACAGAACCCATGGAAGGATGTGTTATCCTTAAGACCATTAGAAAATCTATGTGGTGTCATGTTGAGGAGCCAAGGTTTACTATTACTCATACTTTCTTCTGATGCTAAGAGATTGATAATCATCTTTTAAAATGTAAATACCTTAGAAAATGTAGACTATGACAGAAATAAAGTGATCGCAGATGGAGGTATGTGTTTAAATATGTGCAGAAATTCCTAAACCGAAATTGCATGCCTAAGATAATGCAGACAAAAACATTACTCAAAGATACCAAAGTAACGGTATATTACGTATCTGTGAGAAACACATATGTACCTACACTGTGTGAATATGCATGTTCCTCTGTAGGTAGGTCACTAAGAAGCTTTTGCAAATTGGAGGAGCTTTTGGGTCACTGAATTTGGATACTTTAGAATAAACATGCTGTTTCTTGCTAAACACCTTGGTTTGAACCCAACTTTGTTACTTACTAGCTAAAGACCTTTAATAAATTAATTTCTCTTGCTTGTTCATTTTTTAAATGGGTACTAACATCTGTCTGGTAGAATACTGTAAAAATAAAGTGACAGAATGTATGCAGAGTTCTTTGAGAATTGAACAGTATAGTTTTTTATCTGTGACTTGAGCTAAGCAATAAATATTATCCCCTGTCCAAATGAGATTAAGTCCTATTCAATTAATTTCCTTCCTACTTTTAACAAGATTAACACAAAGTTCTTTGGAAAATATATTCTAACAGGTGTATTTAAGAAAAACCATTCTGCTTATTGCAAGGCAGCAGTCACTATCTGTGTCATGTTAGATTCTTCTTAAAGTATTGGTACTTTGATTATGAAGATCTCCAAATAGTTCCATGTAACTGAACAGTTAGAAGTTTGTGCCTATCCTGTAAATAATGCATGGTAATAATAGTTATACAACCATGGCATAAAGGTTTATCTTTATTGTATGAGTTAAATCAACTACTTCTGCCCTAGCCTCCATTATGATAAATGACATTTTTTTCTCGTATGTTTTTTACAATAGCTAATGTTCCGTAAAATGCGAGGCTTAAGTGAATTTCCGGATAGTATCTCAGCCACTGGAGATGTCCTGTCTCACCTGACCTCCTCAGTTGACCTGGACTTTGGCACACACCATCCCCTTCACGTGACAATGCTGCCCAACCCCTCCCACCTGGAAGCCGTTAACCCTGTGGCTGTGGGGAAGACTCGGGGAAGGCAGCAGTCCAGACAGGATGGGGACTACTCTCCAGATAGTTCGGCTCAGCCCGGGGACAAAGTCATTTGCTTACAGGTACTTGTAGCTTCAGAAAGTGAGGCCAGAGGTTGGGAAGAACAGGAAGAAAGAATGTCCAGATAGGTAGTTCTGAAACAGGATGGCAGCCATGTGAGAGGCAACTGAATGAACTTTTGGGGAAAGAAAATCCTGGGGGTGTTTGAAACATTTTTTTAATAGCCAATAAATTTTGGGAAAAGAAAATCTTGGGGTTGTTTGGAAAAAATTTTAATAGCACATATGAGGTCTGGTCTCAAGGCAGCTGACTTTAGATGTATGTTTTTGCTATGTTTTTTCTTTCTTGACTTATGCATTAATTAAGGGGGTATAGACTGGCATACCTGATGCTTTAAGGGGACGGATGCCATTTCTTTGAAAATATTGCTCTCTAGGAAACTACACGATATCCATTTATCGAACAAGGCTTCAAGAGTCTGGATTTATTTTGTTTGCTTATTTGTTTGTCTGAAAATGAAGGTCTTTGGCATTAAGACAACCACTACAAATTGTTGTAATTGGTGTTTCCCCTACCCCTCAAGTTTTTGTAACCCCACAGGTATCTTTTATTTTTTATTTTATTCTGTTTATTTATTTATTGGCTATTCTTTTTTTTATTGAGGTAGAGTTGATATACAGTATTATATTGGTTGTAGATTTGCAACATAGTGATTCAACAATTATATACATTATGAAATGCACACCATGGTAAGCATAGTTGCCATCTGTCACCATGCAAAGTTATTATAATATTATTGACTACGTTCTCTATACTGTACTTTTCCTCCTTGTGACTTATTTATTTTGTAATTGGAAGTTTGTTCCTTTTTATCTCCTTCACCTATTTTTCCCATCCCTGCCCATCTCCCTTAGGGCAACCACCAGTTTGTTGTCTGTATTTGTGAGTCTATTTCCAACAGGTATCTTTTAGAGGTTTGGACTGTGGGTCACATTTTTTTCCTATGATTATTCGTTTAAATATGAAACTTTAGGTAATAATTAATTCTAGATATCACTAACAGTCTTCAAACCCAACAGAAATAGATAAATCTATTTGGTAGATTATTTGACTATGTATACAAAAAAACACTTTATCTTATTCATGTTAATTTTTCATGTGCTGGAAACTTGCAGTAATTAAACTTGGGGTAGGCAGCAGTAGATTTGACTGTGACATGATGTTCCCCAATAGGAATTTTAAATCATTAGCCAGATATTCTACTTACCTTTCATTCGACTTAATTTGTGACATTCTGCAGTATTTTGGTAATGACATTTACCCTATACAGTAAGCAGGTCTGAAGTAAGAGTTGAAAAGAGCATTTTCTTTAAAGTGATAAGAAACTGACTGCCCTCTTTTGCCTCTCTTGTGTTCCAAAAATAGTTTGCCTTGCTATGTTTGTTCATATCTTACCTTGCTCAAATACACAATTCTCATTTCTCATGGGAACTCTAAATTTGGAGCCTATGAAGTCATGGTGGGTGAGATTCCAGATGCTACCTTTTCTGCCTGTTTTCTCTTTATCCTGGTCCTGGACCTGGTGGACTCTTATTTGGGACCTCCTGTGTGCGTGTTCAACCCCCAACTCTCATCCCCGATGTGTTTGGCTGAATAGCTTCCACCTTGCCCAGTGTTTGTTTGCCCATATGACCTCTTATGCCCACAAAGCTTTATGGGGCATAGTGGGGCATTCTTTTTTGATTTAAGAAGGAAAATAAAATTAGCAAATGACACATGCATGCTTTATGCCAAGAATCCTAAGATTATGATAAAACAATGCAAGCTGTGAATAGATGTTAGGTTCTTACCCATGCCTCTGCTGTAATCTTTTTGTAAAAGAGCAGAAAAAAGGCACATGTCTCTCGCCCTTGCTTTACCAATCTCCTTCTACATCATTACTTCACAAGAAATCCCATCAGTAAGGAGGCCAGGATGTGAGGAGTATTTAGATGCCAGGAAGCTCTTGACCATGTGGCTGAGGGTTGGACTTTACAATGTAGCATGATATAGAAAAGACAAGGTTTTGAACCAGGAGGACTTGAGTTCAGATCCTGGCTTTACTACTTTCTAGTTTGGCATGCTTGGTTCTGTTACATAGGTTCTTTAAATCTCATAGTAAGTGGGAATATTACATTCCTCATAGTGTTCTGAGGATTAAATAAGAATTTATACGTAATAAGTTTCTTGAGCCAGGAGAAAGGCTTGGAAGAGTAGAAAATATGTAGAGAAAAAGGAGGCACCACAGAAGGGTGCCCACACCAGGGACATCTAGTGCAAGCCATGTGAAATATATATTCCTTGTGGACCTTGGTTTTTCTCACCTGGAAAAAGGACTTCCTTATCTGCTCCACTGTCCAACTTGGCTGTTGAGTGGATTAAGAGAGATAAAATGTATAGCACTGTACACTACAGTATAATGTAAGGGTACATTACTAGTATAGATGCTCCAAAATGACAGCCAGCCCCAGAGATTCTAGCAATGGGACATTTCATTTAGGCAAAAGAGTTCTTTCTTTCTTAGCCAAAATATGCTTAAATGAAAATGACTTTCTAAAGGACATTTTCATTGTCGTTTTGAAACATCTATGACCAAGTATTCTTTGTTTATTCATATGTAGGTCTTTTACTTCTGTTATTATTAGCCTTAAGCTAGGGTATATCAGATCATTTTATTAGTTCTGCATTTTGGATGTTTGTGATATAGCCTTTTAAAATATTTTTTATTGAAATATACTTGACATACAACATTATGTAAATTAAGAAGTGAGGCAGAGTAGGAAAGCAAGGTGGAAACCTCCTTCCAAAAACACATAAAGGAAGAAAATACAGCAAATACAACTAAACTTGAAAATGACCTGAAGACTGCAGAACAGACCACCTATACCTGGGGAAGAAGAGAAGACCTCACAGAAGAGGGTAAAGTGGCAGAGCCACAGTCGAGCAGGACCCAAGCCCTTCCCCACCCAGCCTATAGGCAAGAGAAAGAGGAACAGAGCAGGGAGTGGGAAGGATCCCAGGATTGCTGCACACCTGGCCCTGGAGATCTCTTCCAGGAGCACGGGCCCACATTACACTAGGTTCTGGTGATTAGTGGGGTTGGACACCAGGGACAAGTGGAACACTCTGGGAGGCTAAGACTACTCTAGCCATTGTGAAAGGCCAACACCCTCTGCCAGTCCTGAGACCCAAGGCAGAAGTGGCAGTTTGAAAGACTGGCCAGCAGTGGGAAGGGTGTCAGAGGGGCTAGTGTTGGATGGAGCTCTCTCCTCAGGAGAAAGGGTAGGTGGAGGATACATCCCCAGCTCTTCCTCGGCCCAACAGTTTGAGAACTCTTGTGAGCCCCAGGTGCTCCATTCCCCTTGCTGGCAATGGAGCCCCGAGACCCTTCTCTGTGTGCACTGCCAGTGAGCCAACCCACTTGGCCCAACAGCAGCATCAGACTTTGCTGCCCAGCTGGCAGGGGGAGACTCTCCCAGCTTTTTGGGCTGCTTTTCAGGGAGGAAGCCCAGCCAGGGAGGTGCCTGCAGGAGCCACCACAAGAGTTCCTTCTATCCTATGGGTGTTCAAGCCCGGTGCTCTGCATTCAACCTGGGTAGAATCACACATGAGCCCACCCCATTAACCCTGCAGACCTGCCATTTCTATAGGGCAGGTAGAGGGCAGCCGTGCCCACAGAATTCCCAGCAGAGACTTCTGCACTGATAGTAACAAAGGCAGTGGCTGAAGCAAACTGCTGGTGCAGACTCAGACCACTACAGAAGACAGACAGAAGGGTAACCCTGCCCACTGCATGTCATAGCTGGGGCTCCTGCAAAGTAGAACCAGGCACTGGAGAGTAAAGAATCTTGAGCTTTTGGGCACCATAGGGTACCTTATTCATAAAGCTATTACTCTATAGGCCAGGAAGCATAACAGAGCCATCTAATAGGAAGGAAGGAACCGAGAAACCCTGAAAAAATGAGGAAGCAGAGGAATATGTTCCAAATGAAACTACAGGACATACACCAGAAAGAGGGCTAAATGAAGTGGAGATCACCAAACTTATTGATAAAGATTTCAAAATGAAAGTCATAAACATGCTCACAGATTTAAAGAAAAATATACAAGATCTCAGGGAGGGAGGACTTCAACAAAGAGATAAGAAGACCTGAAAAAGAGCTGCTGAGTGTTGAAGAATACAGTATCTGAAATGAAACAAAATGAGGGATTTAAGAGTAGATTACTGCAGGTAGAGGAGACAGTGAATGAGATAGAAATTAGAGAACAGGAGCACAACAAACTGAGGAACAGAGAGAGAGAAAAGGATCTCTAGGAAGGAAAGAATGATAAGAGAGCTATGTGACCAATCCAGCTGAAACAATATTTGTATAATAGGGGTACCAGAAGGAGAATATAGAGACAAAGCAATTTCTTTGAGGAAATAATTGTTGAAAACTTCCACCATCTTTCCTGGGAAAGAAATAGACACTCAGGTCATGGAAGCTCAAACAGCCCCTAACAAAAGGAACCCAAGGAAGACAACACCAAGACATGTAATAAAATGGCAGAGATCAAGGACAAGGAGAGAGTATTGAAAGAAGCTATACAGAGAAAAAAGATTACTTATAAAGGAAGCCCCATCAGGCTATCAGCAGACTTCTCAGCAGAAATTTTACAGGCCAGAAGAGAGTGCCATGATATATTTAATGTACTGAAACAGAAGGACCTCCAACCAAGAATCCTCTGCCCAAAAAGATTATCATTTAAATTTGAAGCAGGTATTAAACAATTTCCAGATAAACGAAAGTTGAAGGAATTCACCACCACTAAGCCAGCCTTACAGAATATGTTAAAGGCACTGCTGTTGGTGGAAATGTCCCTAAGGCTAAATAGCTTTCACCAGTGAAAATAAACCCACAGTAAAGGTAGTAGACCAACTAATTACCAAGCAAGTATGAAATTAAAACAAAAGAAGCAAAATCAACTATACACAAACTCAGTCAAGAGATATACAAAAAGTGCAGATTATGACATCTAATAT